AGGGGGCCGCAGGCTCCCTCGGCCCTGGCCTGCCAAGAGCCCGTCAGCCAAAGCCAGAAGACAGGGAGAGCTTGAAAGCAGTAGTGACAGCTGCTGAGTCAGAGCATCAAGACAGCTGCTGTTCGCCCTCTCTTCCGTACATGCACAAAACCAAGCACCCAGCAGCAGCGGGTGCTGCAGCTGATGTGTGACTGACAGGAGCAAAGCCTGACCGAGTGGGAGACGCTGCCCAGAAGGGGCTGAAGGCAAGAAGGACTTGTGGCGGTGGGGCTGAGTGAGGGAGATGCTGCAGCTCTAGGAGAGTGCGGAGCTGCCTGGGGTGGAAGGAGTCACAGGCGAGGGCAGCAGGCTCGGGGGTAGCAGATCCCCTTGGAGCAGCTTCGTACAAGTCGTCACAGAAGAGCAGGAAGAAGAGTATCAGACCATGCCAACCGCAGCGGGACAGGACAGGCTTGCTGGTGCCCCGAACACCCAGCCAGGAAGGCGAGAAGGATGTTCCCCAGCACACAAGGTACACGCTTTCTCCCTTTCCTCTCCTGCTTGGATGTGCTGTTGAGCCAATCCTCACACTCAGTCCCTGTGGCCTCTCTCCCTGCCCCCCGCATTTACCAGGGCCAGGGAGGAGGGCAGGATGGTCATATCCCAAAACTGTAAGGGAAGGGGTGGTCATCTTTTGCCAACACTATGGTTTCAGCACTGTCGGCACGATGAGCAGGGCGATGTTATCTGTGACTCCCCACAGGACATCAGCAGGAGCTGCCCGCCCAGCGGAACGCTGCCCCAGTTTCCAGGGCAGGTCAGTGAACACAATTTCTTTAACAGCCTACGTCAGGGTTTTAGGCCAGGGGGGTAAGGTTGGTCATTCTTGGGTTTGGTGGTTTTTGCTTTTTTAAACAGGCATTCATGCTGGCTCGTTTGTCAGAGCTGCCAAATAGAAGTCCAAAAGGCAAAGGCCTTCTGAAAAACACCAAGGTGTTTGGATGCACTGCTTGCTCAACCAGTCTCCAGTTGCAAGGGGCTGATTAACCAGGCATTACTCCCAAAGTTTACACTGGGACAAAATTTTCCGTTTACAGGCAGGTTACCTTTGGAATACAGATAAGTTAAAATTTAGAGTATGTGAAAAGTGGGCAACAGCCACTGCTCTGCAGCACAACACATGTCAGCAACACACTCTGGCACAAGATCATTCTGGCTACAAGCATAACGGATTTCCCCAGACATCCCAGCATCAGAGAAAAGGAAGGGGCAATTCTGGTGTCTCTGGGAAGTGCTTCTGAGAGGCAGGACTGCCCCATGTTCTCATCCAACTTGCCTCAGGATTTCACATAAAGTCACTGATCCTCCCTCCAGAATTTACCCTACAGGAAGAAAGCCATCTCTCCTTCAGTGTGAGAAGGATCTCGTCCTTCAACCCAACCCCAATTGAAAAAACAAACAAAAGAAACCAAACCAAACAAAAGAAACCGTATAGAAAAGCACAGGCAGAGCAACATGGAAAAGGAGCACCTTTACAGCAGTTACCAAAACAGATCTCCAGCTACATCTTAATCCGAGTTACTGAAGTTAGTACCAGCCTGCCTAGAGCCCAAGCGTATCAGAAGCGATCATTTGATGGTTCCCCAATCACAGGAATACTTAAACCTCATTGCCTTGGTAGAGGACTTCAGCCCAAATAACCACCTCAGGCACTAGGTAAGGAAGATTTTTCCAATCCCACCTCCAAGCACATGGACAAGGAATGGTCAGTCACCACCCATTCAGTCCACAGTGACGGTCACATAAAGAAAAAGATGCTTACCCTTCCACAAGGAGGCAGGTAAGTGAGGATGTCCAGCACACTTTCCTCCTTCTGTCATTAAATCCTGTCGGTCTCAGATTCTGCTTTAAGGGTCTGCCAGAGCAGTGAACCTTTGCTAGGGCACAAGAGCAACTAAGCCACGCTGCAGCCACCTGAGGGAACCCATTTCCTGTACAAAGGGTACCTACGCGCCAAATAATTCCCTCTTTGAAATGCCGTGCGTATGGCCTTCTAGAACAAACAGTTACTGACATGATCAACCTGAACCAGGAGGTCTGATTTAAAACACCTCCACAGTGCTGTACAGATCACCAACATCCTTTCATCATCTCACATCCCGCTGCCAACCACAACTCTGGCTTATCTGGGAGTTAAGGGAAAACACAAGATACCGCTTTTGATTTCCTCCACTTTTTCAAAATCCCATCTTTCTGTTGCTGATCTGTTGGCTACAAATAAGAATTGATACTATCAGTTGCCTCTCCAAAGCCATGAACAAACCTGACTGCAAACAAACAACACTGCAGCTACAGGTTAAACCATCCTCCTCCAGTAAGTCTCATTCTTGTAATTGCTACCCAGATTCTGCATTCAGTTTTAGAAAAGAGATACTATTCACAGTATGTCTTTCTAAATCAAATTTCTAACCAGAAACATTTTGCAACCCTAGGAGTATATTTCATTTATAATTCAATTTGGAAAGAAAGGTTATCACATATTTCCCACATCATTTTCCCATAGCCAAAAGAGTTTATCTAAAATTTAAAGCAAGGAATAAGCAGCAAAGTTAAGTGAATTTGTTATTTTATTTTTTTTTCCCCTCTACTCACAATAGCTGTTCTGTCTGTAGCACATGTCCAAGGTCAAGTATTTGGGACCTTTATTTAGCTAAAAATGTTTCCTCCTGAGTGGGTGTTGAGACAGCTCAAATGTCCTCTTAAAGTCAAATATACACTCATAGTCCTGGACTGAGCCAAAAACTTGCACTAGTCAATATGCCATTTTTTAAGCTTAAAGGAATATCTGAGTATTTTTTCATGCAGACAAAAAAATAACATTTGAGTCCAACAACCTCAAACTTCAATATAAGTATGATTGATGAATATACTTGGAACAGGCAGAGTTACACAGCAGAAAGCATCGCTGCCAAACTAGGACAGAAAAATCACACAGAAAAAAAATTTATAAACACCTGGGTCTTTCCGGGTACACACCCGTGTTCCTTTTCCACTGAGCCTCTGATGATCCAGCAGGTAACCGCCAACCTGGCTGCAGGCAGCTTCCTTTCACCAGCCGGCCGCCCGGCTCTGGGAACAGCTCCTGGCTGTCTCACTGGGGAGCAGCAGCAGCCCCGTTTCTGGAGAGTCTCTCGTTAGCCCGACCGTCCATTTTCACCTGGCTGTTAGTGACCTTTAAGGGGTTCTCATCTATTTTTCTAATGATCTTAGTTAAGCATGTGAGGCAGGATCTGCTAAATAGATACTGTCTGCGTAAAAGATTACCGCACGCTTTGAGGTAGCGAATGTTTCC